CAGCACTGTCCTCGGTTTCTGGGACCTGCCTGTGCCCCGCCCTCCTCCCGGCTGCCCTGACCCACGTTCCAGCAGCAGCGTGAGAGCTTGCCCCCGACACTCTTGCCAGCAGCCGCCGTCGTCTGTGTTTTGGGAATAGCCATCCCCACTACCGTGAGGCAGGGTCTCAGCACGGTGTGATTGCATTTCCCTGATGATTAGTGATGCTGAGGGTTTTGTTATATATTGTTTTCTTCTTTTGAGAAACATTTATATAGATCTTTTGCCCATTTTTTAAAGTTGTTTTCACAGGTATTGTTAGTTGCTGATGGACCTTTATTTTGTTCATTTATTCACATGTGGTGCTGAGAATCGAACCCAGTGCCTCACACGTGCTAGGCAGGTGCTCCACCACTGAGCCCCAGCCCCATCCTTTGCCCATTTTTAATTGGATGATTGGGTGGTTTTATTTTGAGTTCCTTATGTATTCTGGATACCAAACCTTGGTCAGATGAGCATTTCACGTGCGTTTTCCCCTAATTCTGTAGTCCTGTGGTTGAATCTGGGATGTCTCCCCAAGGCCAGTGTGCTGACGCCTGGGTCCCCAGTGCAGCAGTGTCCAGAGGCGAGCCTTGGGGACTTCACGGGGCTCTGACCTCACGGGGGCCTGGTCCATTGGAGGGCTCACAGCTGAATGGCCTGTGGGGAGGTGGGCCCTGCAGGTGTGCCCTTGGAACTCCCCCTGCCCTTGGGCAGCTGGAGCTGAGCAGCTCCCCACCCCTCCTCTGCATGGAGCTGGCCCGTCACAGGTGGAAACCTCTGGAACCACGAGCCAAAACAGACCTTTCCCCTTCGATGTTGCAGTCAGCGGTGGTGGAGAGCTGGCCTGCATGAGAGGGTTGTCTCTTCACTCTGTGCATTTGCTGGGCAGAGGGTCCAAGTTTGATAGAATCTGGTTTGCCTGCTCTTGCTCGTGTTGGTTGTGCTTCTGGGGTCTTGTCCAAAATCCCTTGTCAAAGGGCTCTGAGGAAAGTGGATGTTCATGTTAGAAGACTGAGCCTCGGCCACTGTGGGAAAGTCATCTCGGAATGTCCCCTGGTTTTGCTCTTAGGCTCTGGGACCGCTTTTCCTGCCCTGCCTGTGGGAGCAGGGGTGGCTTCCAGACAGGATATCTCCAGGGACTGTTCTCCGCTGGGAGTTGCTGTTCTGCCTCCTGCCTGTCCTGCTCCAGGGCATTGGGAGGAGAAACTGGACAGGACAGGCCTCACAGCACCGTCTCCTCCCTCGGTGCTGCTCTGCCAGCCCCTCCCTGCCTCTCACAGCCACACCTGGCACCAGCAGGTGTGGACTTTGTACCTCGGGGTGCTCCTTCCCCAGGGCAGGTACTGGCCAGTGTCTCCTTGGTGAGCACCGTGTCCTTGGTCTCTGAGGAAGCCATCCTGGGAGCAGGCAGGAGGGGTGGGCGCTGGGGAGGGTGGGGAGGACAGGGGCCGGGGAGGGGACGCTGGAGGTGCCAGGGCCGGTGACTGTGGAACTCAGGAGGGGCCAAGTCCTGGACGGGGCGACGCACTTGGGGGGTCTGGAAAGCAGTGCCTGTCCTGCTGGGTGCTGCCTGGGAGGGGTGGCTGTAGCAGCGGCTCCCTGTGCATCTGGTCCTGCACCCCGCCTCCGCTGGGAAGGCGGCTCCTCCGTCCTGTCCAGGAGTGCTCTTCCCGCCCCTGCCTGGGAGTGGACTGGCCCCAGCCTGGCGGCGGGCCCTGTGGTCCCAGGCTGGCGAGCCTCCAGGAGGCAGAGGGTCCCTCGGGTGTTGGCGCTGCCACGGCCCAGCAGCCCCTGCTTCCTTTCACACAGGGGTCCATTCAGCCCACATCCAGAATTTCCCAGCTGTGGCAGGGGTTTCCATGGAAACAGGCAGTGCCCGTGAGAAAAGGAAAGACCAGAGACCTTCTCACAGAATTTAAAGTACTTGAAATCCACTACTAGGTGGCTGGACATCGGCTCTAACAAAATCTTGAGTTTCAGGTGTTTTATTGGTCAGTAAATTTTGACCATAAAATAGAACAGCTCTCTCCTGGACTGAAGTAACATTTGGACAGCCTCTGCACCAGGTCCCGCCCTGCCGTCCTGCCCCTGCTGGGAGGGTGCCCACCTGCTGCCCATGGTGGCACTCATTTGCACGATACTCATGATGTATGTATTAGTTAAAAATTGATTCACAGTCACTGTCCATTTGACCCTCAGAGCAGTGCTAGGAAGCAGACAGGAAAAGTGGTTTACAGAGAGGAAACAGACCAGGGCCAGAGGGTTGGTTCCCAGCAAGTTCTGGAGCATGGACGCCTGAGCCTCGCTGTGGAGAAACCACGTTCGCAGAGAGTGGCCGGCCCCTGGCCTGCGCTCAGCGACTCTGGTTCCGACATGTTTTCCCTTCCAACATGTGGCTTCTCACAGAGACCTTTGGGGGGAGAAGGAGACGTCTGCAAATCAAGCACAAAGGCTGGACTCCTGATCTGCCCCCCCCCCCGACACAGTTGCCAAGAAGGCGCTTCCCTTGTAGCTGACCTCACGCTCGGAGGTAGAGCAGGAGGGGCGAGAGCAGGTAGCCGTGCAACACGGAGTCCCTGTGCAGATGGGCACAGGGTGAGGTCTGCCTGTGCCTTCCTGCCCAGGGGTGGGAGCCACTGTCCTCCAGAACCCAGGGCGCACCAACTAAATACTGTGCCCATGTAAGTGCACTGGGTGGGCCAGGAGACGAGGGGGGACGCTCAAACACCACGTGGCCATGGAGCTGGCCCGTGGGCAGCGACTCCTGGTGCAGCTGTTCCCTCGGCTGACCCAGATGTCACACACAGCCGCACCTGTGCTAATGCTCCTGGAGCTGGACACCAGTGTAAAAGGGTCAGTTTTATTGAATGATAGTTGTAAAGGTGACAGAAAGTAGGTGTTGGAAAGTTAATAAAGTTAATATAGCTTTATTAACTTCATGTAGCTTTACTAATTTACTTTATCAGTGTATTCTAGTTATGTTTATAGAGTTTATCAAAAGTTCATAAATGAAAGGAAATATATGCGATAATATAAAATATTCATAAGCATTCTGTAAGGAAAAGTTGTTAAAAAGTTAGTACTTGTATAAAACCACAGGGATAGATTTGTCCCCTTTTTTTATGAAGCTTCATAATGCTTTAGAGGCAACTAACATGAGATTTCATCTTGAAAACCAGGCCTACCCTATGGATAAACCCTTGTAGTCACACCCTTAAACTAAGTGCCCACAAAATGAGGACTGCAACCTCCTCCCATGTAAGCAGTGATGCAGTTAGATACAGGTGACTATGAAGTGTCTATGGTGGACGTGAACCCATCTCATTGGCCCTCACGTACAC